CAGAGCAGCTGTGTACACTCAAACGAGTGACATCTACGAGCCCCAGTACTTAGTTGTATCAAGTTTGCTGTCACCTCGCTATAGGTGGAGCTATCAGGACAAAAATGTTTGTTAAAAAACAAGCTCGGTAATAATTAGTAACTAACTTTCTGCACATATGGGGTTAAAGAATGCCACTTAGCATTAAAAAACTTAGCAAACGTTCAATTGAAGGAAAAAAAAAACTTATATATAGTTTGTATTGTCGTGCATGAGAAAGACTGGTACTAGAACTAAACACAACCATAATCACAGGTCTAGGATGTGTCAGACGACACCACAATGCTTCCAGAGGTCGTTTGGCAACAACTGTGCAAATCTAAAAGGAGCACAGTTTATGGCACAACACAGTCGACAAACTCTGCAAATCCAAAGTAGGAGGCACGCCCTTCGTACAATAAGAAAGAAACTACATGCACACCATCTCTCAGCCCGCACAGTGAGCTGTGAGCCCCACCCAGGCCTCCAGTCATAGCATTCCTTGATAGAGCCGTCAGGCCAACTGGAAGAGAGCCCAGCCTCTCCTGCAGTGACTAACTCCATAGCAATGTCCTACTCTCTACCCAACTCACCCAGTGGGTCTGAGCTGGGTACAAAAACAGGGTACTCTTTTATGGTTTCTACTTACTAACACCCATTGGAGGAAGGAAAATTAATTCTTTACATTATTATCATTATTAAGGAAGGAAGACAATTTGCGCATTTATAAAGACTAACAGAAGCCCCTCATAACATTAACGCACAGCCGTAAAGATGCCATAAAAATAATTGTTTTTTTTGTTTTTTTTCAAAATTCTTACTGCCTCAGAGTCAATGGGAGAAATTGCACAACTATAAATCTAAATTTAAAAAGGTTCAGCAATGTTCAGGCTTAGATAAATGATATATTTTCGGGCAAACAACCAGACCACTAATTATAGAAAAGCCACTGTAAGTGTTTAATGCCACACTGTTTCCATTAAAGTGTTGTAATGTTTAATAAGAAGCACACGCACGCACACAGCGAGCATTACACAATGCAACGACATAAATTGTGGCCTTTGGCTTCGCTTACAGGAGTTGCCTGGTTACTCGCCCCCTAGCAGACACGTTTTTCCAAAGCAAATTACAGGATTGATTTTAATGCGGCAAGTGCAAGTCATATTTCTCCATTAAAGGCTCATCATTCATGTTTTCTTGCAGCAGGCAGACAATTTTAGAGCTGATACATAAAAAGGAATAACTGTTCTTTGGTTAGAAGTTCCACTTTTACTTCCACATGGACACAATTCAAACCCACAAGTGACCAAACTCTCGTGCAAAAGTTGTAGCTTTCTGTCTTTTTGTGGAAGATGACCAATTTAGAGGAACAAATAGAACACATAAAAACTTGTTGTAGACAATTACCTTAAATAACCCTGATCACTGAAAGATTAGAAACATGTTTACATAAACCTTTTAGATACATTAAAGTCTGTCAATCCCTTCATTGAATCATTTTTTTTTTTGTCCATGCGCTTACTTGTTTATCCTGTTAACAAGGCTTTTCAAACCTAGTCAAAGAATATGAGTCAGCAATCAAATACATGGCGCTGATTGATGGCAAGGTGGTTCCCTGTCCAGCTCAGGGTGCATTATATTTCAAACGCCATTAGTCGGCTTTATAGTTCGGTCTATAATGCCACTGCCAAGAGCTTTGTAAAAGTCAACAGGCATGTGGATTTAAATATCCATATAATTCAGATGAAAACTTCTTGCTTCTCTACCTACAATTCAACTAGAAACAAACTCACGTAAACTGCACCTAGAATAACCTAACCTATGCCTGTATCCCTCTGCTGTTGTAAACAAGAAGCTCTGCATAACTACATTACTGGGATGGCGTGAAGTAGCATGAGCTGCATGTCAAATGTTTGGTCTACATCAAGATATAGAATAACTGAATAACCTTAGACACTACTGAACGCACAAAAAAACTATTCAAAACTAATGGTAAATGTTAAAAACGCATCATGTGAGAAATAAGCATACTAATGTGTACTTATTGTAATTAAATGCACAAACTAAAATCAACAATTAGCTTATTATATAAAGCTGCAATGGCAGGTGTGGCAACCAGAAAGTAATTGCAACATGGCATGCAAGTTAGTGCATGCGTTTCACCTTAGTTACAGCATAACCAATAAATAGTGGTTTGTGCATATAAAATACACCATCGCCAAAAGGTCAGAAACAACAGCTATTTTCATAGCCGTTTCTGAAAACACAAGGACTCATACATAATTGAAGCATTAAAGCTCAGCTAAAATGGACATGCAGCCTTGGACACTGAGGCCTTTAAACTATAAACAGACTAATCATTCTGCTGTCATGTGATCCTAAGCCTTAATCAAATGCACATCGTATTTTCTATTTCAAGACAGACAACAAATGTAATCTAGTAATCCAACTGGATTGCAGAAATACAATGAAAGTACAGTCTATTACATATTATCATAGGCAAAACTTGACCCGAAGTCCAAAATTAAAATAATAATTTTAAAAAATAATAATTTAAACAATATAATGTTCAAAAACGTATGCATCATGTTTATTTGCAGAAAAAGTCAAATTATTTATTGTCAGTAACATTTAAATCGAAGTGGTAAACAGGATCATCTGAAACACAAATTATTAAAAGTAGATTACTGGGTAAAAATAAAATGACTGTGTAAAAAATAAATTAGAGATTTTAAGAGCTAAACGAAAACCTCAAGTAAAATTTACAAATATGCCTGTCATTAAGGCATATGTTTGCCAGACCGGGTATTACAACACAACTCTGTCAATATGGAAAAATGATGAAAGAAGAATGCCTGACTCTGACTCAGAGCCATATTGGCAAAGGCATACAGCATTGTCCAACTTTGTGCTAGCGTTACGCCAATATTTCTCAACCATGGAATAATGATAACTCCAGAGTCTGTCTGAACAGAAAGGCATGTACCAAGATAATGCTACAAAGTCTTCAGCTCAGACTTCATATTACAAAACATTTCAAATGATCCCCACATCCTGTAAGGCATTATCTATAAAAACAAGTGCGCTGCCAACTTATCTGTGATGGATAATCATCACAATTTCATGAAGAATTTATTTCTGTCATCCTGTACACTTTTGAAAAACACAAATAATCAAGGAACATAATGCTCAAATGTGAAGCCTGCCACACCTCCCATGGAGTTTTCAACAAGCGTGTAAGGAAACGACAAAGGAAGTGTGCGCAAGTCCAGACTCTTTCCGTTTTCACAGTGGAATAGAGAGTTCTACGAAGCACACTTTAATCTGACCTATCAACACACAGCAGGAGAAAGTTTGCCTCCGTTGTAAACCTCCAGGACAACTGCGCATCAGATAAAGACACAGAGGGCCCCAAACGGTGTTTCTACTCAACATCCAAATCTTTAATCTTCTGAGATAAGCAAGAAACTCCCTGTTCTTTTTTTTATAAACTAAACATTATGAAAGCTTCAAATACAGTCAAGGTTGAGACGCTACTAAACATTACACAACTACTAATAAAGAACATAAAACAGAGAATACAAATGCTGTGCGCATTTAGACTTTCAAAATAAGATATGAATCAGGTGCAGATTTAATACTGTATGGTGTTACAGTATGCTTTATTCTGCTGTGGAGTCATCTGTTCTGACAAAACAGAAGAAAGCTTTGGGTGTGGCAGGAGGAGGGGGATGGGCTCCAAATGTTTCACTGATGAAAAATCTGCTCAGGAACATTTTTATCTTAAATCAGACAAACTGCAAAACAGCCTTTTGTATGTCAACACTCCATGCATATCTCAAATCTGTCAGCACTTATCAACAACTCTCCTCTTAATGTCCTTCTCATTTTCTTTTATCCATTCTATTCATTCTCTTTTTCTGTTATATAACAAACCATCAGTTGTCCTACGGCAAAACGACTCCATAACTAAACTCACGCCTCAGTCGGGTGTGAATAAAACACCTCATTCTTTCTTCTCCATAGCAAGCCTTACTTTCCTCCTCTGTGCTTCAAACCTGGTTTCAATTAGTAAGTCTTTCCAAACCACTACATTCCATTACCCCCTCCTCCCTTCACCCCTCTTACTCACTATACCCACACCCTGGCCAGGGCTCCAGGTTACGAAAATCAAGGCAAACTGGGACAGGCTTCTCAAATAAATCTAAAAATTCACTTTTTATTCTAAAACACAATAAGAATGTTAAAAACGAGCTTAATTTGCACATAAAAAATAAGTATGGATAAAAATATGGAAACATAATTCACCCACAGTGCAGAATATGTGCTGACGTTGTCCAAAAAAATCTTGAGCAATGACCAGATTTGGTATGGGAGGATTATACCCATTTTGAGAGGAAAGTAAAAAAAAAATCTATGCAAGCGTGGCATGAGTTACAGTATGCGCATGAACACTACTGTGCGCAGATGACTTTCTTCACATGTGTATATACATATACGTGTTATTTTACAGTCATGCAACCAAAGTCAGACACAGTTCTTATCCACGTTGCACTCTTTTAACTTGGGTTTATCTTTTTGCATAACATGCAAAAATCCAAATAAAATTTGCGTTAATTATGAATCCTGAGTGATTGAGCAGGTCAAGTTTACGAAACGCTGAACAATGGCGAACTTTAGTAATAATATTGGGATAAACTTTTGTTGGGGGAAAAAACGTGCGCAACAGATGACAATTGCAGAGCAGATACACACCCACACTCCCACCCACCCTTCATGTTCACCCATCCAAAGGATTATAAAGTTGGTAAGACATAGTACATTACCATTAGAACCAAATATATCGCGTTAATAAACAACTAAAGATTTACGAAAGCTCTAGAATATAAAACGATTTGAGAGAAAACTACTCTAAAACGTAAGCGTAAAACGTAAGAAGTTCATAACTCATTAATCTAACCTCATTAGACACACAAACTTACCTGAATCCTTCAACGCCTTTGCTCTGGCATCCTCCGCGGTCCACAGCTTTCTGCCACAGCCCAGAAGTTTTCCACCACGCTTTCTGAACTCAACTTATTCGTGTACTCTCGTTCGTTCTCGAGGCGTGGAACCTCTCTTTATATTTGTCTTGTTTAAGTTACTTTATATCACTTGCTCGCTCTCTTTCTCTCTCTTCTTCTCACTTTCGTGCTGTTTATTTTTCTCTCTTCTCTCAGTGTGCCTGTAACTCCGGGCTATGGAGAATGGCAGAGTTTGGGTTTGGACTGTGGAGTTCTACACTGGAGAAGAAGGCGGGGGTAACGGTGTAACAGGGAGTGGTCCTTTATAATTTTAGTCCAGCCCACCTACTGTTTGATTGGCATGTCAGTTTAACGCAGCTCATGAATGGAAACAGGTTTTATCTAAAAGTTTGAACTCTATTCTTTGGACGACAGTTATTTTAATCATTAGGTTTGTGGAAGTTGGCACAAACTTTATTGAAGCAATTTGTTAAGTGCTTTCAGAGTAATAAATATGATTGCAAAATATGTAGGCTAGGCTGCAATTCCTGGGCAGCAATGGTTAATTAAAAAAGTGAAAGAAAGAAGAAAAGAAGCAGTGTGTTAGATAAAGATAATGAAATAAGTTTTACCACTAGTTTGTTATGTAGATGAATTGAATTGTTCAGACATTATTCTGGAATGCATGGCCTTGCATACTTTTGCCTGGCATAAAGTGTCATATGGCATGATGTTATTTTAGTATAATTGAGAAATAATTGAAGGGTTTTTTTAAATAACATTTGTATTATTTCAGACAAAACAACTTCAAGTTTAAGCTGGAGGGACTATGTCTCTCGGCTGGCCTGTGAACGCCTCGGGATCCCCCCGAGGAGCTGGAGGAAATGTCTGAGGACAGGGAAGTCTGGGGTTCTCTCCTAAGACTGCTGTCCCTCGTCCCGGCCCGGAAAAGTGGACAAAAATTAATAATATGATATAATATAATATAATATAGGGTGACGCAGTGGCGCAGTAGGTAGTGCTGTCGCCTTACAGCAAGAAAGTTGTTAAGTCACTGGTTCGAACCTCTGCTCGGCTCAGTTGGCGTTTCTGTGTGGAGTTTGCATGCTCTCCTCCGGGTGCTCCGGTTTCCCCCACTGTCCAAAGACATGTGGTACAGGTAAATTGAGTAGGCTAAATTGTCAGTAGTGTATAAGTGTGTGTATAAATGAGTGTGTGCATGTTTCCCAGAGATTGTGGCTGGAAGGGCATCCGCTGCGTAAAAACGTGCTGGATAAGTTGGTGGTTCATTCCGCTGTGGCGACCCCGGATTAATAAAAGGACTAAGCCGACAAGAAAATGAATGAATGAATGAATAGAATAGAATAGAATAGAATAGAATATCTGACCCTGGAACAAAACATTAATTTTGCCGTGGTATATTTACATTTACATTTAGTTATTTAGCAGATGCTTTTTTGGCAAAAGTCAAAAACACATTGTATGGGTCAACAATCCAGATTTGTCTTTTACTGCCAATATTCAGTAAAAGTAAAGATATGATTTATAAAGTTTCTACCATAAATACATTCATTCATTAATTTTCTTTTCAGCTCAGTCCCTTTATTAATCTGGGGTGGCCACAGCAGAATGAACCCTAATTCACCTGTACCGCCTGTCTTTAGACTGTGGGGAAAACCAGAACACCCGGAGGAAAACCACGCGAATGCAGGGAGAACATGCAAACACCACACAGAAATGCCAACTGACCCAGCCGAGGCTCGAACCAGCAACCTGCTGTCAGGTGACAGCACTACCTACAGCGCCACCGCGTTGCGTACCGTAAATACATTCATTCATTCATTCTTTTTCTTATCGGCTTAGTCCATTTATTAATCCGGGGTCGCCACAACGGAATGAATTGCCAACTTATCCAGCATGTTTTTACGCAGCGGATGCCCTTCCAGCTGCAACCCATCTCTGGGAAAACCGTAAATGCAATAAGTCTTAATTTTCAAATAGTTATGTATATTAAGCACTTTATAAACCTAACCCTGAGATTCCAGACAAAACAAAAAGGTTTCTATTCTAATACATCAATGAAAAAGCTTATTTAATTAGCTTTCAGATTATGTAAATATCTTAATTTAGAAAATTGACCCTTAAGGTTCTGAATTATGATATAATATAATATAATATAATATAATATAATATAATATAATATAATATAATATAATATAATATAATATAATATAATATAATCCTGATAATCCTGTCAAAACTAGTTTTTCATTACATATTTTACTGTTGATGCTAGTCTGCTTTTATTGTTCTCAGTTGATTAACCAAAAGACAGCAAAACACAAAGATGCTGAAACTTTGCAGAACAGAATTCTGGATGATGGTGAATTCTGAACTAGATGTTCAAACAAAATCCTCCCAGCTAAACACATATTTGTGTAGCTTGACTTTAAATCTTACTGAGATATAGTTCTTGTGACTAGCATGTGACAACTAGCTGTATAATTGTCATTTTGCACAACTTCATTTGTAGACTTATGTAAATGTAGAACCAGGACCTGCTAGAAAGCATGTCTGCCACAGACACGGCACATTCAGAGCAGTTTTAAATCAGAGATGTGTGTTTTGTTTGTTTTGTTTTTAAATAGAGGCCTAATTTCTAATTCGTTTCAGAGATATCTGTGGCAGATGTTTTGACAAATGTCAAATATTTGTTGACATTTGAAGAATTACTTCTTGTATTTGATAATGCGTTCATTGTGTCTGTTAGCATGCATAGTGCTGTCTTTGAGACACTTCAACATAATTTCCATGCCATTTTCATAACAGAAAATCCAGTGTAAATCTCTAATGAGTATTTTATTCATATTCCTTAACTATTTAAATAATGAAACATGCAGTTAAATGATTTGTTGATCCCCTTTCTAAATAATAAGTGAAAATTCTTTCATTTTAAACAAGAAAAGAAACCACCAATTCAATCCAGTTAGCTCTTTTTTGATTTACTAAATTAGACTACTAAAAGAATACTCCATTTGCCATTTGAAAGAAGAATTGAAACCAACAAACAGGGCCTAAATGACATAACAGCACTGTCGCTGCAAAATGGTACACTGTAGCCTTAAGTTAGACTAGTCAGAATGAAGTCACAAAGGTTTGTTACAAAAAGGCATGGTTATTTCTATTTAAATAGCCAATGCTGACCAAGGTGCCACAGAAAACTTATAGAGTAAACGTTGCTGTTAAACCATGCTATCAGCTGCTCATATTTTATATTTAGCATATTTACTATTGTGAATAAACAAATGAGAAAGCAAAATTATTAGTAAGAAAACAGACTCAAATTACAGACACTCACAATGAAAGAGACTATTAAGAAATAAAATAGAGCAATGGACGTAATTAACTCATATAATAAAGGTTGTGAACATTATAAACCCATATGCAATTAAATTAGGATAAGTTGGGACAGTTCATTAGGACAAGTAATGTGCAGTCTGGAGCACAGGCCTTTCAAGATGCATCGCGTTTATCAAGCGACCAAAAGACTGTTGCATTATACAAAACTGTGAAGAGATAATATGTGATGGCCTTTGCATGTTTATCTCAAAAGTCTTCATTTTTGTCTTAGTCGTCCTAGTATCTAATTAAAGTATTCACTCAACTGACTTTTTATTAGGTTTAAAAGTTTCAACCAAAAATGAAAATTCGTCAGCTTGGAATTATAAGGCTCTATCTGCGTTCTGAATGATTTTGAGATATTGAGCTTCAAAGATTTTGCGTTCCATTGTAAACAGTATGTGTGTATTTATTTTTTAAATAAAAAGTCTTAAAATATAAATTACTTATAAAAAAAATCCCATAATGTAAATAAGTTGTCATTTAATAAGAATATGTCAATAACTCAATTTTGACAAAAATGTCAGATAGAACCTTATAATTCTAAGATGACGAATTTACTCAAACACAAGAGGCTCTAAAGTTTTATGAGTTTGTTTTTTATTTCTGTTAAACAGGTGCAATTTTGAATAGTTTTGGAAATCAGTATTCACTGGCATCCATACGAGATGAAAGAAACTCAAAGAAGTTTGGTGCAAGTGGAGTAAATAATGACAGATTTTTACTTGAACTAACTACTTGTTCACCCAATTATCTAATCATTCGATAAAATAGCAGCAACTCAATACATTTAAGTAAGTTGATTGGATAAGAATGAGAAAGAAAGGAGCCTTAGAATAAGAATAAATATAATTAAATTGACCTTGAACATGACTGATTTGTTGGTGCTGAATGGACAATCTTAATATCAGACACTGAGATTTCATCATAAATAGTAGCATTTTGATTTGATGGCTAATTGATTTTACTCAGTATAATCTCAATTCCACATTTTAGTATGTTGTGCTCATGTCTCAATGAGGGTTAGGGTTGTGGTTTGGGAAGCACGTCCAACTTCAATTGTTTTTTTTTTTTTATGAAATTATATGGATTTGTACACTGTAAAGCTCAACAGTTGACCTTATCATATGAAATGAGTGTAGGTAACTCAAAATGTACTGACAGTTAATTCTACTCATTTAAAAAGAGTTTTCAACTCAGTGTTAATAAATACCTCATTACTTTAACTTAAATGAAGTAAGTTTGCAGTACTCATATAGATTAGTTTTTTAACTTAAATGGTTTGTAGCAATTAGTTTACTCAAACAGTTTGAGACAAATTAACTTATTGGCTTTTACAGTACTAAGTTGGTTTGAGTTCTCTTCATTTATTGGGTTTTACTGTGCTCAAATTTCTTCGTTTACTCAAATGGATTAAGTTCACATACTCATTAGGAAGAGTTTTTGAACTTGTTGCAATCGGTTTCCTCAAACCGTTTGAGTTACCTGAACTTTTTTGGTTTTACAGTGTACGAGTAAGCTACTTTGGTGTAGTAATTTTTCTTGTGAGATCAGACTGGGGGATTGTCACACCCAACCAAGCAAGCCTAAGAGAAAAGTGAAGTGAAATGTATCCCTAACCCGAAGCAACAACTGAACTTCACTAAATTTGCATGGCGGATGAGATACCTGGAAGGCCTGGAATACTAATCCGACTTTCCATCTCTACCCTGCCATTGATAGTTTCTATTCTATGTGCTGTAAAGGTTCCTGTTGCTGCAAGTCTTGCCCTGCAGCCACTAAATCAATCATTCGTCCCTGACTAAAACAGCCTGAAGCATCTCACATGTTCCCCTAAACCCTTCACTGTACCCTTTCCAATGCTTCTGCTTCGTTTTAACCTGCCCTAATC